TACGAATAATAAAAGAAAAGTGATTTTATGATAATTAATGATATTATAGGATTCAGAGTGGATTACATTATAAAAAAAAGCTGCGTGTCATTTTGCTATTTAATTAAAAAATCGTTTCTTTCTTTCAAATAGAAAGAAAAGGTGACTGGTGCGAATTAATTGTGACCGTTATGGGATTAATTGCAAGTCGGTGAGCGTGGCGAGAGAGCCGGTAACACTATGAAGAATACGAAGTTCGCGTGTCTAGTGTTACCGCCCTTTATTTGCACACCGAACGCGAGAGAGCCGCGCAAAGTACGGCTTCTAGAATAGTTTAATGCGGCCTTGTAGTCCGTAATGTAATCAGCGCGTGACGTCATTGAACCTACCTCCCTAGTTCCGCGAGGATCGGATCGCGAAATCTACCTTGAGGACGAGCGTACCGCAAACTCATACGTGGGCCCCCCGATAAATCGCCCGTTGGACAACGCGTCCAACAGTGGATTTGAACGACATCGTGTCCGTGTCCGCGTCCGTGATGTGAATAAAATGAATTTCACGTGCTCCCGATCAGAATTGTGATTGCCAACTAACGTTGAACTGCTCTTTCTTGAAAAATGTACGTATGAGTCATGTTCATCGTGCAACGTTTTGTGACCTGACTCCGTCTTTCCTGGAATTCATTAATTCGTTCTAGAGAACTTAAAACGTGATTAGAATAGTAGTATGAAGGAGAAATGAAACTGTGTTTTAATGGGTAATGACATGCTGTCGCAAAGAGAAGTAGATCATTTATTGTGGAAATATAATAAATGTAATAGAAAATCTGATTAAGGTCCATTATCGAACATAGCTTGAAGTGTATCCATAGGTTTTATGCAACTGCATTTCTTTTACTAGAATATGTTATTATAGTATGATCATTAATATATAATTGTCTCTTTCTTGGGCAACTGTTTCTCTCGTTCTATAATTATACAAGAAATGATAGACAAGAGTTGTAAAAGTATGTGCATCAGAAGAGAAATGATTTACTTTCGTATATGACTATTTATCTTGTTATAGTACTGTACATTTTACTATTGTCTGTAATGTAAGAGAATAGTGTTTCATAAATTGTGCAATAAAGAGGTAATACTCATGCGACAGTGCTCTACCGCGACGAGGTTCTTCCGGATGATGTTCGAAAATGAATAATGCAGATGATTCTATTAAATTCGATTCCGCGTATCCTGTGCGCGAAGACGCTGTTCACGAGCGAGCGTTGCACGATCAACTGCATTTCTTTTACTAGAATATGTTATTATAGTATGATCATTAATATATAATTGTCTCTTTCTTGGGCAACTGTTTCTCTCGTTCTATAATTATACAAGAAATGATAGACAAGAGTTGTAAAAGTATGTGCATCAGAAGAGAAATGATTTACTTTCGTATATGACTATTTATCTTGTTATAGTACTGTACATTTTACTATTGTCTGTAATGTAAGAGAATAGTGTTTCATAAATTGTGCAATAAAGAGGTAATACTCATGCGACAGTGCTCTACCGCGACGAGGTTCTTCCGGATGATGTTCGAAAATGAATAATGCAGATGATTCTATTAAATTCGATTCCGCGTATCCTGTGCGCGAAGACGCTGTTCACGAGCGAGCGTTGCACGATCATTCACCGCGACCATTATTTAATAAACTCCAAGGCTAGCCGACTTTTGCTCCACGCGAGAGAACGTAACGTGATGCTCTCGAGACGCGACATCGCGAAGAACAAATGAAACGAGTCGCATTGTTCTTCGTACTTTATTTAAATCTTGCAACTTCATCGTAACGGACCATAATTTTCTATTTTAAAGAAATAAAGCAAAATACGTTGCATACATTCTTTTAACAGAAGTTTAAGAAAGATTATGACAGAAATCATGAACGCGTGATTTCGGTGACTTTAATGTGTTAAAAAAATTTGCGCAAAGACCGCGTCTATCTCTCGTCTGGTCGAGTTTCGCGTGTCTTTATTAAGTGCTCGCTAATTTGTACAATTCGAGAGAACAGTGACTAACTAAATCCAGTGAAGATAATTGCTATGCATCGTTATGAAAATCGTACAGCAGGCGAGAGTTTAACTATTTAGTGGATTTCTTAAATTTCTAGTCAGTGAAAGCAACGAGGAACGCGATGCGTTAATAATATTGTCCAATGGGTAATATCTGTGCGATTTTGCAACACATTTTTAGAATCTGTTTGACGGGATACGTAATCGTGTTTTTAATTAAATCGACGGAATTTGAGAGCGGAAGGATCTGTGTCATTGTCACGGCACGAGACCTCGGTTCTGGAGACTGGTGTGCGACACTTGGTGACCTCCTTTTGCATGTATTACAGGGGTGTTGGAGATGGCGGCCACAGAGAGCACGATCCGTTTCAGCGGCCATACATTGGACAAGGCTACAAAGGCCAAGGTGAGTCCTCTCTCTCTCTTTCTCCTTGATATTCTCTTCCTAGTCTCTTCATTATCCCTATCACCTTTTACACATTTTCAATCGTTATAAATTTAGCAATATCAGCTTTCTATCTTTCGTTCAATCGTAATTACTAATAACTTCAATTCGATCAAAATTATTAATCATCTTCATATTTAATCTGTTTATAATTATTAATATTAATGGTTTTTATGTAAAATAAAAAATTTATGGTATCAGTAAAAAAGTTAGATAAACCTAATAAAAATATATACATGAAGTTACACAGACATAAAATTTTAGATAAACATTTCTTTTGTCATTTAAACGATGATACATAAGATATTTTAATATTCGGAATAGTTTCCCGTATTATGCTGCAATTTATAATTTCTGCACATCTTCCTTATAATACAGTTTTTAAGTAATGAATGTAACTCATCTAGTAATCCTTGTGTACAATTGATTTCTTAGGTGACGTTGGAGAATTATTACAGTAATCTAATAGCTCAGCACATCGAGCGGAAGCAAAGGCTCGCCAAATTAGAAGAATCGTTGAAGGACGAAGGGCTGTCGGAGCAGCAGAAGCAAGAGAAACGGTTGCAACATGCTCAGAAAGAAACAGAGTTTCTCCGCTTGAAACGCTCCCGGCTCGGTGTCGAAGATTTCGAACCCCTGAAAGTTATTGGCAGAGGCGCTTTCGGAGAGGTAAATTTCGAAGATCATCACGATATTCTGATTAAATTGAAGCGCGTCAAATTTAATTTTTCTCTTTACTTGACGACCAAAACGTCTTTTTGCATATAACGAAAAATTCAATCTCGTAAGCTGATACTTCTGCCTCATTTAGCAGATAACATACGCTACAGAGTTTACCCCCTTAATAGATTGCAATCATTACAATCAACCTTCATTGTCTTTTGTTGCACTAAAAAGGTAAGACTCGTGCAGAAGAAGGACACGGGTCACGTGTACGCGATGAAAATTCTGCGGAAAGCTGATATGCTGGAAAAGGAGCAAGTTGCGCACGTCAGGGCCGAACGAGACGTTCTAGTGGAAGCGGATCATCAGTGGGTCGTAAAGATGTATTATAGTTTTCAAGATCCCATCAATCTGTATTTAATCATGGAGTTTCTCCCGGGCGGTAAGCTTTTACTTCCCTTTTCGATTTCTTTGCTCGGTCCCATTCCTGTTCCCGCGATCTAATCGCGACTTCTTTTTGCCGCGTTTCAGGCGACATGATGACACTGCTAATGAAGAAAGATACGCTTTCCGAGGAGTGTACGCAGTTTTATATTTCGGAGACAGCGTTAGCGATCGATTCCATTCACAAGTTAGGGTTTATTCATAGGTGAGTCGCACGATCGCTGACAGATGAATCTAATGATTGCTCAAGCAAAAACGATCTAGCTAGATATACCGGTTTAATACTTTCTTTTTAGAGATATCAAACCGGACAACCTATTACTGGATGCGCGAGGTCATATAAAGCTTTCTGACTTTGGACTGTGTACGGGTTTGAAGAAGTCTCATAGGACCGATTTCTACAGAGATCTCAGCCAAGCGAAGCCTTCAGATTTCAGTAAGCTATTTTCATCGGTTTCAAGAAGCTGTCGTTTAGATTCGGAGGTAACGTTCGATCGTTTCTATCGTGTCCAGTGACGTCATGTGGAAGCGGAAGCGGCGGTGCGATGGATAGTAAAAGAAGAGCCGAGAGTTGGAAGAGAAACAGGAGAGCGTTAGCTTACAGCACGGTCGGAACGCCTGATTACATAGCCCCGGAAGTATTTTTGCAAACTGGTTACGGGCCCGCCTGCGACTGCTGGTCCTTAGGAGTTATCATGTACGAGATGCTCATAGGTACGGTACCCTTCTTTTCCCTCCCGTAATTACAATAGTTTCCGGTTTTTAAAAAGAAGACGTACACATTTCAACATTTCCTCTCGAGTTTTATTAACGATTAGTTTTCTCGTTTGTTTCAGGATATCCTCCATTCTGTAGTGAAAATCCGCAAGAGACTTACAGGAAAATTATGAATTGGAGAGAGACCCTAGTGTTTCCACCGGAAGTTCCCATCAGTGAGGAAGCTAAGGATACCATTATTAGATTTTGTTGTGAAGCCGATAGAAGATTAGGTACTTAATTGTCTCTGTATTCTATACAACTTCGAATAAGATTAGTTTATCGCTCAATTGCAGTTATTATATTTTCTTTGTTAATTTTCAGGTGCGCAAAGAGGCGTCGAAGAACTTAAGTTGGCTCCGTTCTTCCGTGGCGTCGATTGGGAACACATCAGAGAGAGACCTGCCGCGATTCCAGTCGAGGTACTTTCTATCGACGATACCTCCAATTTCGACGAATTCCCAGACGTGAAATTGGAAATACGTAAGTGTACTAATATCCATTTCAATTTAGAGCTGACGTACATTGTACTACGCGTAACAATCACGTAGTTATTGGGATCTGATATGAAAAAGAAGTCAAGTCGTATAAAGATATTGAGGGCGAACGACTTTTCAAAGCAGGTCACATTATAAAATCTGGAAAAACAGGCGATAATCTAAAAACTGGTATCGTCAATTTTACAGCCAATTGCTCGCAGACTTCAAATTTACCAGGTAGGCTGTAATTATCAAAGATTTTTTTTTCTATTCACAAAGTATTTCTTTGGCAGTGAGAAAAAATAGAGACTGACATTTAAATCATTATCGGATCTTACGTTGCAGTTTTCAACGCAACAGTACTTTCTATTGTAGTTCTTATTACGTTTAGTAAACGTTGGAACATTCATTTAATCACAATCAGTCGTGCGGCTACGTGCCTGTTATTTCATTAGTTTCACAAACTGGAAGTGCTGCCGTCGATGTCAGATCCCAATACCTATCGATGTACCCGTAGTTGTTGAGTAACTACTCTAAAATTGGACGTAATCTCATAGTTATTTATTTTCTTTGATTACAGCATCCGCGCCGATGCCACAAGACGGGGAGGTAATATACAAGGACTGGGTATTCATTAATTACACGTTCAAGCGATTCGAAGGTTTGACGCAGCGAGGCACGCCGATCAAGAAATAGCAACACTCTATTTCTTGCTCGGTACCAACCAGTCAGCAGTCTGACGCAACTGGAATTCCGGCCTTGGTACATCACCCGTACCCTCCATTGTCTTCGACGGCACCGCGAATGGACGACTGATTCCGTTTTCTCGTTTTTGGACACGGTTTAGTCAGTCACCGGCGGCTGATCGTTTTTACATGTACATACGTGACGAGATGAACACGACGTACGTACGTATCTATACGTTATCACGCGGCGGTAGATAGCAAGAAGAAAGAAACAATCATGACAAAGGCGATTATAACGTGTAAAAAAAAAAGTAAATGTCGTCGTGCTGTTGTGTTACAAAGGACAAAGAACGGAGTGATAAAGATTCCGAAGACAAGCAGGTGCGAAAATTAATACACATGTGATAAAAGAAGAACCAGACATATTTTCATGCGCACCGTAAAGTTTTTAGTGATGGTCATAACTATATGAAAAAAAAAGAAAATACGTTCCCTTTTTCCGTTTGATCGTGAATAATTATTGTTTCCATCCGATGATCTTCGAAGCGTAGCATAATAAGCTCTCTCTCTCTTTGCAGTGAGAATTTTATTAATGGAAAAATAGTAAAGTATACAAAGATGGAGCCTCGGTCCCGTGATTCTCGAAGAGCTGCGTACAATGTTTCCTTTCTTTTTTTTATTTTGTATAGAATTTCGTTCAATGTGTCTCCTGTTCTCTATTCTTCTCTCAACGAACCACTGGTTTAGCTATCGTTTATCAGCTCTCTTTTCAACGTTATATTTATAGCTAGTACTGTGATATGATATTGTTTAAAAGTCTTTTTGTACACAGATCACTGTTTTTTGTCTGTTAAGAATTACTGAACTTTACGAATGTTATACTCTATTCGATCGTGCTTACGTCGCCCTTTTCAAAAAAAGAAAGAAAACGTTAGATATTTGTTAATTAGTAAAAGAACAAAAGGTATTTTAAATTTATATATTTTTTGAGAGCTTTTGCCTAGATATTGGAAAGATAAATTGGTGAAGATATTCATCAAAGCAGATCAGTTTGTTTAATCAAATGAAGTTTGTTCAGTTTTTACGTTAACGTCTTATTAATTCGAAAAATTGCATTACTATGCAACAGACGGTTTTAAACTTTTTATTTACGCGTAATTATATACGTATATATATAAATACAGGGAGAGACGTTTCTCGTGACATTATTAATTCGAAAATAATCTAGTTATTCGTAGATATCGCGTCACAAGCTTTTACGTAACTTTTGTGCTTTGCAGTAATTTGTATCGATATATAATGTATCGTCGAGTAAAATGTATTGCAGTTAAGTGAGCTCGGCAAGAGAATAGAATCGTCAAACGTAAAATGTATGAAAGGCGGGTCGGAGAATCGTGAAGGTACCGGGTCTCTTTCTTCGAGAGCAATTAAACAATTTCCAAACGGTTTTGTTTGTGCCTGAGCACCGTAAGGAAAACGAATCGTGAAACGAGAATATCCAGAAAAATGATACATTCGTAAAATTCAGGTTTCCTCCGTTGCCTTATTAAGGTTCCTAACACGTGTACACGCGCAGCCCAAACCCAACAAACTACAAACAAATGAAATGAAATAATACAAATAAAAAACGCAAGACAATTTTACGGCGCTGGGTAAATCATAGGTAATAATGGAACAAGAAAGAAAAAGGAAGAAGAAGAAAAGCTAATTGAAAAATAGTCGAAATGTAATCTAGTGCTTGATGTATATATCTTTTATAGTATAATTTTACATTAACTGAAAAATAGATATCGAAAATTGTTGCTGGCATTTCACGAGTTTCCTCAGTTCTCGCGGGCGTTGATTTTCTTTTCCTGCACAATCTCAATTATTTTCCTTCTCGGCTTAACGGAACAGCGGTTTCATTGAGAATGAACCGTGTTCACTGTCGAATACGGGAAATTATCGTTTGAAATGATGTCCTACAGCATCGGATTGAATTATGCGAGCAAAATCTCGTGTCAATGTACGAGAAGAAGATAGAAAATAAAAGCAAGAACGTTGCATAACGCAATCTCTCTCGAATGTAGTTTTTGTTTCGAGTATAGCACCGTGAACGGTTTAGAATGTACACTGTGTAGTTTACCGACAGCCAGGGCACCGTGGTAGTAATAGTACTAATAATACCTAACGAAACTGGAATAAAGCAGCTAAAGGCGAATCTAGACCGTTCATTGTGGACGTGCATCCTGAATGATTCATTCATAGTGAAAAGTGTAAAGATATTTTCATCGGCATTTCATCCAAAGGGACTACTGAACGAAGTAGGCTCAGGTTTTACTTTCGATGAATTGTTTAGACGAATCATTCTGGATGCACACCTCAAGTGACAAGTCTAAGTTCATCTTAAATAAGTCATAGTGAGGTAAAACGTATCACAGGTGGAGTCGCTTTAGCGTTTTTTCAATCTTGCGGTGAGAAAGTAATCTTAAAGAATTCTTAGAGCGGCGTTTGCCAGTCGTACCTTCTTTAATTCGATGATATCAATTAATGTTAATACGATGATTTACGATCCTGCTAGAGCGATTTCATCTATTGTACAGATGTACCTATACTATGTAAGCGCACGATCGAAACGTATCGCGTTCCGGCTGATAGTACTTGTATCGAAGCTTTCCGCTCCTTTCTCGTACGATCCGGCGTGTCTTCGTTGACGACCACCCACGCAACGTAACACGTTGCTGTACGTACGTATCGTCGGGCCGCGAGTAGAACAACGCGATTTGAACGAGTATATTATCGAGGAAACAAGTCTTATCAATTACTCGTTTAAGGATGAACCGATTTGATTGACTTTACAATTTGTCTAAAAGCAGATTTATTGAATTCGCTGTCTGTCGATATGATTCAAAGATCGATGACCCTTCTTGCGAACTGGCGATACGTAAATTGATGGAATACATATTAGTTTCGTACGGCTTTGTTCGCGGATACTTCAGCTAACGAGTGTGGAGCACCAGGTCGCTTCGTCATCGCGTTGCTTCATTGAACGGCCTCCATTTTGATCTTAACACAATCGAGCTATTATTTTGAAACAGCTCCGTTTTGAATGTTTTTTTTTTAACAAGGGACGGTAGATGATTATTCGCACCTTTGAGAGTGGATATTGATAACATTCAACATTAGTACTCCATACTCTGATGCTCGAAGCGCGAGTACCCCTATAATATAAAAAGGAAAATGAACAAATCTCGATGTATAACTTTTACGATAACAGAATGCTTAGATTTACGAAGTGACAGTTTTTAAACGACGGGAAGAGATGAATAATATAATAATGACACTATTTTCTGCACCGGTAGAGATGAGAAAGAACGTGAAAGGTGTGAGAATGCGTAAGTGCGGTGTAGAGGAATGTGTGCGCTCGCGCGAGACACACGAAAGAAAGGATGGACGTGAAGCGTGACAGAACGGAAGAATTTAGAAATAAGTACGAAAGATAGAAGCAGAATGAAAAAAGAGAGAGAGAGAGAGAAAGGTAGAAACTAGAATAAGATGGGGATGGCAAGAAATAAAAGAGAGAGAGAGAGAGAGAGAGAATGCGAGCGAGTGAGTTAATAAGCTTAGCAACTTGTTGCTGTCGGGTACAGATACTCTGACACGTCCAATGCTACCGAGCAACACGAACGAAGTAATCGCGATTTATTTATTTAAAAAGAGAATTAAATAAAATAAAAAACAATAGCCACGAGATGCCTTCGATGCAACAAGTCTTTTGGTGCCCTGCGCGTAACCGATGCGATTCAGCTTCGGAAATTGCGTGATTCGTCAGATAAATAAATCCGAGAAACTCGAAGGACACGTCTCTGCGGTCGAGGATCGAAACCGATAGTGACCACTCGTGTACGCGTACACACGTTTGCACAAGTTAATTGTCGATCATTATCTGTGAACGTATTTCGGAAATGACTACGGATAGATTATATACGATAATAATTGTCGTCAGTATATGTTGTAAATATTGCATAGAGCAAGCTCTCGAGTCGCTGTGCTGGTCGAATTTGTGGATTGAATAAAGAGCGAGTAACGTTTCGTCGGAAAAATATTTAACGACGTTTCACTTCGCCAGGTAAAATAAGTTTAATCGTCTCCTGTGTCGTTGTTTTTTCATACAACGATCGTTAATAATAATAATCATTCGAGCAGCGCCGAATTAGCTGAGACATTTTAATTCGCGATCATTCGAATTGATCATTTGATAGAAAATATTTGGAACTATCGCCTGAATGTCGTCCCTGAGTCAAGCGTTGTACAGCTTATTGTACGGAAAACGTTCGTCCAAGTCGAGCATATTTTCGTGAAAATGTGCTCGATCGCTTAATTGGCTAATCTGTTGCGCACCATCGTAATTATATGGATCACTGTGAAAGAAACACGCGTCGCTTTTGTATATGAGCGTTCACTTCCAATACAGTAAGTAAGTATATTTACAGCTTCCCAAAGTTTTCCCTCTTTTATTTTCCATTTGCATTTAGCCAATCGCTCCGATTACGCGCGTTTTTCCTGTTTAACGAATCATTGATTCGTCCGTCCGATGACCATTAAAAAAGCCAATCGATTTACAAAAATCTATCCATAAATTCCAAACCCGTCGACATTTTAATTTTCAAAACATCGTTTAGGTCTATTAACGTCTAATACGAGAATACTTAACTCACCGATCGATTACGAAAAAACGCGAAGCGATGACCGAGGGCCAGTTAGAGAAATTTTATTAAACGCGGCCGCGATTATTCCGATCGATTGCATACCTTGATTTACCAATTATGCGAGCATGGCTTGGAATACAAGTAATACGAGCCCGGACGTTTTCGTTTAAGTAAGCTTACGCGATTTGATCGCAAATTTTTTATTTAGTAGCTTCACAAAGAAAGAGAAGAGGTGAAAAAGAATACGCGATGAACGAAGTGACAAAACACTGCTTCTCGTGCGCGATACATATTGTAATTATAGTGATTGTCGTTAATAAATTGTTTTTTATTTTAAATTTCTCTCACATGCTCAGAAATTATTATCCTCAAGGGGCTAGACGTAACTTTTCTAACATTTGTCGGTAAATTTTTGACGTTTTTTATTCTCAAAATATAGGTTTAAAAAGACCGACTCTTCGTCATGTTTGAAAATGTCGACAAATGTTAGAAAATGTCAACGAAATGAAAAATCTATTCGTATACCCGTTCTGTTGTAAGATTATATTGCAATGATTAAATTTTAAATATTGCGAATGAAAGTAATAATGCTATAGAAAATTAATACCATCAATAATTAAACGACAAACGTAGAACCTGGAAAGACGAACGGTATATAATCTTTCACTGTCAGATGCCGCTGGTTGTATGTTGAATAGCCGAATTGAACGAGTCCTATTTCTGGCGGCCTGCTTGACGATACCTGATTTCGTCGGTAACGCGGTACATACGTTATATAAACATTAAACAGCGTCGTTTACGTAATTGAAGGTTTAAGGCGCCGAGAGGTGCGCATAACGCAACGTATAAACCGTTCGTCGTAAGCGAAATATTTACACGGTCATGTAACCAGCCTCTTATGCGCGCGATTCACTCTACCGACCCTCCCCTATATTATACATACACAAGGTAAGAAGACCATGTTTCATAACACATCGTATCAGAGGTAACGATTCTACGATTCATCTATCAAATCAAAAGATAGAATCTGTTAATGTGAGCATTGTATAGGTAATATTGAAAACCGGAAAGTAGATTAGCGGTGCAAATGGTTTCATTGTTAGTCTTTATACTTCATCAACTGTATCTCTCAATTAGTAAAGAAGAATCTAAAGTACTGTAAAATATAAGCTCAAGTATATTGCATATTCGTTTGAGGAACAAAGAGCCCAATGTAATGATTTAATTTAATAACGAATTATTCACAAGAAGTAAGGCCGTTATCAATATCAGATTTGTTTAGATACTCATTTCGCATCAAGGTTTATGTATTGGAATTTTGATATTAACATTTGAATTCACCCTGAATCGCGTGTTCAGCTTTTAAACCTGCAAATTGTGCAACTGGACGCAACGGTGCACGCGGTGGCCAACCAGTTTCGTATATTTTCTTCACGTAACCTAGATAGGTCGCGAGTCGACCGATAAGTAATCCTGAATATCGACAATTTGTAACACTTTTCTCTCTCCTCTCGCGCGTTGTAATCCACCAGCGACGGGTTTACGTAATGTGGATAATATAACCAAATGTATGTAACGCTGGCGTGAGGTAAGACCCCTACCCGGCCTACGCGCTGACTAAATAGCGTACATTTGTGTCATAATCTATTGTTTGGCAATAGTTATAGTTTGTTGTGTAACGGCTACAGTTAATGGAGAGACGATCGATAGCCAATGCAGTGTTTCTTGATTCAGCGACGAAAGGAATAATCAGAAAGCAAGAATCATGTTTGGTTTGAACTTCATTGGGATGCTTCCTTATTTTTCACTGCCTTTTAAACCACGCATGAAGGAAGCATGTTTGTCCTATCGACGTTATTTAATGAAAACATTACTAGTCCAAATATCTATTATGTAAAGGTCCAGCGACGTAGAAAATTCTTTATGAAATCAACATTACTTAATAGGAACGATTACTAATCGAAATGTCTACTATCTAGAAGACAAAATATTGAAACAAAGTAAACGCATTTCCCAACGTGCTTCTACTTTATCTCTTCAAGATCAACAACGTAAAAAATTCTTTATGAAAACAGATTCTGTTTTTCCATTCATTCCATTACTCAAACGATTCTTGCCATTTCTGCTTACTTCGAATAAGGAAGTACGTCATAAACATAGCAGAATTACATCAACAATCTTCTACATTTTTTGCAAAAACGTGATTAATTCACAAGTAACTACGATGCTGTAATTCGATTCTACGCTAGTCGCTCAAAAAAATGAAGTCGTACGTTTTCATCAGATAAGTCTTAACTAATGATAGCATATGCAACATTGAATCACATGACAACAACGTAACTCAGTTACGGCACAAATTTTTAAATGATCGCATGTGTAACATAGAGTTAGAATGCTTACACCTCACGACGCCGATTCAATTCATAATCGATAAAATATAATAATCTAAATTTTTCGCACACAGCAGTCTGCAATTTCGTGTGCAGTAGCAGTCAAATGTTGCCGCCATAGCCCCTCTTCTCCTTTTGCCCCCACTATTGATGTGTGCGAAAGAGGCAGATTTCCACTCGACCTTACATCAGGGTTTGTATAATTTTTCCCGCATGGCTCGCTTCCCCTCTTTTTCGCCCGTATTTCGATCCCCACTACTATTCTCCTCATGCGCCATCGCTGACCATGCATAGCATATTCCCATCAAGTACCAGTGCCCACCATGGTCGCGTCGTCCCCACTTTCTGGCCGAGGGAAAAATTATACGATCCCTGCCTTACATCATGCATTCGACCATCTCTTTCTCTCTCTTCATCCGTCATATTGTGCTTCAGGGCGCAGCATTGAACACGCACGCTATGTCTGTAGCTCTATGGTGCGTAATCGATCACCCGTTTTAAATACGTAACGAGAATTTAATTTAATGAGTTAGACGATTCGCGTAACGTGATGACAGATCTTCATTATCGATAATTCTGTTTTGTAATTATTTCATTGATCTATATGTTTAATGAGCACTCATATTATTATACTACATGGCTTCCACCGTTCCATTATGCATCTTATCATGACATTATTTGTCCTTACATTAGGACTTTCCAATATTTGACTGTATTAAATTTATTATTAAGAATACATTAGGAGAGTATTCTGGATTAGAATGCCGTTCTTTACTAGTGATGGCTAGAACTGCCATTTTTGAGTCACGAGTGATTCCTAATTCGATGACGATGTTCGTTCCCAATCATAATTTTTTCAAAATGCAGAAAGTTTAATCAATCAAATGTTCCAATTTCTATTCCCTGCTGTATTTTTCTATCATTTTATATATTATCTTAAAATGATAGAAATAAGTAGAAATTGGGACATTTGTCTTTGTCCTTCTAAAAAGGATTCCCAAAAATAAACTAGAGTGCTCCCTTAATGTTACATATCGAGACGTGTTACTTAGCTTGTTATTACATTACTGTATTACATCTACTAAAAATGTTTTACAAGCCACAAACGTTCCGCAATAACATTCGGTTAATGTTTCGCGAAAGTTTATGGAGTAACTGTGCATCCGTGATAAATCATAAACTCCCGGCCATAACGACTGGATATCCCATTTAACAACCGAAGGTTAAATCATCGATTTTGTCTGTGAATATGGAGGCAGAGCCAATGAAAATTATCGCATAAAATTACTTATTTACTGAACTTATTAAAAAATTCTATTATATGTATGATTATATTATAGGAGGAGGAGCATTAATCTAATTACGTCATACATGGCTGGCCATAAATATTGTAATATGATACTTCATATAATAATTGTTGTAATGCTTGATGTAATATTTGTTTCATTTAATAGTTAATACAACAAATGAGCTAACAGTTGATCAAATGTTTTAATGTAACAATATTTGATTCAACAATTCATATCCTTATGCACATATTATACATGTATGATTTTATGAAGTTATTGACATACATGACATTCAGCATAAATGAATAAATGATAAATGTAGTTAATGATCCAGTTTCATGGAACGCTTATTAATATACAATACGTTGCAAGTGATAAATGAGTGATCCGGTGCTGTGCAGATCTCATTGTGTTCCCCCCGCCTGGATTAATGCAAAATTATCGACCCCGAACGCAATAAGGTAAAAACATTACGAAACTGGCTGGCGATGAGTTTAAGTGACGTCCACGCTTCTTAATGGTCACTTTATGTAACAACAATTCTACGCCGCTCGATATCTCCAGCCAGGGAACCGTTCGCCTCTCTTTGGCAGCGCTCTAAACGCGATATTATTCCGTTTGCTTATTGAGTTCACGTAAATTACTCATTGCGCCACAAGGTTTCACACACCGCGTAACTCATCCTGCCTGTACGTTTCTTAGAAACGAAAAAAGGAGTAATCATGTAGCTGTTAGAATTTGTGAAACAATTCCTAAAGAATCCTAATTTAACTGAAATAACTCGGTTTGCAGGTCATGTCAAATAATGTTTAACCGTTCGAAAAATCGAAGACAAACATTATGACAGCAAGATACGTATGTTAAGTTAATTGACAAAGAGTGTCGGACCTTGAAAAATTTGTTGAATTGAAGAAATTGCGACTCATCAAAGATCAAATTATGTAGAACTTGTTCTGGTCATTCAAGACGTATTATCGATACAAATTGCGAAGAAAGGAGCAATCGAAGATGCGATTATACTTACACGAGAATCATTACGTTTGCCTCAACTGGAAGCTCGCGAGTTCGTAGGAATTGATTAATCTGGACGATACACGCGACCGAGCAACAAACCGCGATACCGACTACTTCATGAGATTCACAATCTTTACCGCAATTTAAGATCTATTCTGAATAGCGTCTTTTTCCTAGCTGAAAATAATATGGAGATGTAATTGAGATAAATGTATCCCCACGCATTTGTCTAAATGAAGTGCAGCTTGAAAGTTTGAACTCGATTTTTGCAAGCTACTTCACTGTGTATGAGATTGGTGCATGAGAAGCGTTTTGTTTTTCGAGTTATAATTTTTTATGGTTGTGTGAGCCGTAAGATCTCTGCCAAAAGTATGAAACGTGTAATTAAAAGTTTAAAAGCCAATATTTGAAGCAATGAACTTTTAGAAGAAATGATAATTACAGAGGAGTGAGGTTTATAAAATTATTCGATCTGTCCTTCTCGGTCATAAGCAATTCTTAACGCATTATTTGTAATACATAATTTTTCTAATACATAATTTTGACATTTTTTTATTGGACTGTACGTGATTTGCGACTACGCTACTCTACATTGTCTACGACTCTACATTGGCGACGACTCTACATTGTCTACGTGTCCTACAA